CTTTGTCTTGCCATTTAATGTCAAGGATGTGACGCAGGCATCTGAGGTGGAAGTGATTGAGCCTTCTTTCGTGTTTAGAGTATGTGGTCCACGACTCGCATCCATTTGGTACGCAGGCCTGGTACACCTGCAGCCTAGTTCGTGTTGTTAGTTTGGCGTTTGACAAGACTCTTTTCTTCAGTCAGGCCATAACAGTTGCGGCCTTCCCTATCCTTCCACTTATCTCATCCTCCATTGAGAGTGTGCTCGATATGTTGGATCCCAGATATGTGAATCTGTCAACAGTATCCAAGTCGTAGTCGTCGATGGAGATAGCTGGGAGGGAGTATATATATAAAGCATGCATTTGTCTTTGTTACATTTGTGAAAAATGTATGCATGATCTGTTTTCATTTTATGATTTAGGTTAGACTGAGCTCTGTAAATATGCAATTTTTCAATCGGGTGTCACCCCTAAAATGGTGTCACCCGGTGCGGTCCGCACCACCGCACCCCCCTCGCTACGCCACTGATCTAAAGGAACATGTCGGACCTATGATATAATCTGGCATATTTTTTCCCGAAATGTTAAATATGGCATATGTTTGTGGCAGGCTCTTTAAGGAGTAAACATTCTTTCTGACAAAATCAAAGTGTGAAAATAAAAATAAAAATAAATAATCTCGCCTAGACTATGTGTCTCCTAAGCCACTACATTTTCATTAGCTCCCTAAAATAATATGTTTCTTTATCAGTTTGTATATATCTGTAGTTTATTTTTAATATGTGTTATATAGGTCCGACATGTTTCTTAGGTAAGAAACACAGTCATTATTCCACTACGATTGAAATGTTCTGTAACTTGCGTAAGCGACAGGATGCTATATGTATCTGAATTCATAGAAATAGGGCTTTACATTTATACCAAATACCATTATGTAAGTAAAAATAAAACACATTGAAAATGAAATTTTACCCATTTATAGGGTTAAAAAATATATTATTTTTACACAATTTTCAATCTTTTAATGATTAATTCTTATTTATTTAAATTAAACAAAGTTTTTGAAGAAATAATATATGATATTATAAATCGAAAAAAAGAAATACTAAAAAATTAATATTTTCCCCGATTCGTCACTAGTATCGCCCTTTAACATATTCTGCATGTCACATTGTTTCTTGCAAATCAAAATCTGGCATTTCGTGGCAACAACGAAGATAAATCTTCCCTGAAAGTTTCTAGAAATAGTGAGATACTACCTAAATATGACCCATAACTTAAAGAGCACCGAATGAGACTAAAGAGGAGTACATCTACAGAAAAAGCATCCGCATTTTACCTTTCACCAGAAACCCAAAATGAATTTATAAACATCCTTACAAATAATGTTAAGGAGATTCTATCATGGACATAAAAGCTGTGAGGTATTTTGAAATTATGTTCAAAAGTACACCTGATATATCGCACAGTAAACAGATGTCTAAAGTGATCAGACATGGGAAAATCCACAATGGGAAAGTTGAAGTGAGAGAAGTGTTTCTTACATTTTTCCCGTTAAGAGGGAAAAAGCTGATGACCTCAGTTCTAACATCCTTACAAATCTAGAACGTGATGGACTAGACATAATGAGGTTCAGAGTTGAAGGTTACGATAATGCTCCCAAAATGTTTCGAATCCATGGAGGTGTTCATACCAATCCGAAAAGAAATAATAAGAAAGCGATTTTTAATGGATGTGCGTACCATTCACTTAAATTGTGTGGTCAACACTCTTTTGTCGAAAATGCTTCATGTTTTACATTTTTCGGTACAAGAGGTACAGCACAAGGTCTTTTGCATGCTGTCTGTGATTTCACGTTTATCTGCTATCATTACCTTTGGGCTGATCTACTTGAGGAAGTTAATCTTACACAGCAGTATCTACAGAAAAAAGGCTTTACTCTTGACAAAGTGGTGAGAAACCTAGAGGCCTTCAGATTGTTTCTGCACGACAAGCTATGTCACTTGGGGGAACAGGCTATCGAATAGGCACTTTTAAAATCAGATTAAGTATTGAATTTCGGTAGAGAGAAGATTAAGGTTTAAAAACGGAATGGCAGGAGAACAATTAATACATGATGGACTCTTTCTGCGGGAAGAAAACTGTAGGCAGATGCTTTCATTCTGAGCTCCAGATCAGATCATCAGCGATCAAGGAAGTAGCAGATATGCTTGGGGCTGTTCAACTCAAGTGTCTAGTATCAGCAAGTGAAGAAGAGTTATTGATTTCCGTTCTAAAAATAACGTATTTCTATGATGGTTAATCAGAAGATGAATTTTTAAAAGAAATACCAAGGCTTAGATAAAAAACAAAAGGCAGCTTAAATTGAATTTCACAAAGTCATGGACTGGTCAGTATTTGATGTTTTGAAATTCATAGCTGAATGGGACTTCCTTGAATTTCTTTCAATGCTCTCGCTAGGCCTTGTGAGCGGAGCTTTTAAATACTAAGGCTTATCAAGAAAAATTTATGATCCACCCTGGGACAGTCTAGGCTTTCTGATGTGGCTCTGCTATTAATTGAAAGTGATACAGTGAAGGACATTGATTTTGATCACGTGATTGACAGGTTTGCAGCTTTGAAGACAAAGAAAAGCAACATTTTAAATGAAGTAAATTTAATGTAAAAAAAATAACACTGTTACTTAACGTTGTTACAGTTTTTAAATACATTGACCTCATGACCTTCAATTTATGTGTTTTTGTTCTCATCATTATTATACTGTCGACTTACAGAAATCCATCATTGAAGGGTTATTTCCTTTTTTTATTTTTATTTATGGGGGTGGTTGGTGGTGACACCATGAGTTTACCGCACCGGGTGACACAAACCCTAGCTACACCACTTCTTTAGATTCACTTTTAACTACGTTTGCAACTTTTTTTTCTTAACCATCAGTGACGATTAACTGGTTCCATGTAACAATGTTCCGAGTTACATTAAATAAATGATCTACGGCGTGTCCGAGAAAATGAGTTGAGTCAATGATTCAATGATCTATGGCTGGGCCGAGCAGATTAGTTTAGTCAATGATTCAATGATCTACGGCATGGCCCAGCATATGAGTTCAGGCAATGATTCAATGATCTACGGCATGGCAGAGCAGATGAGTTTAGTCAATGATTCACTGATCTATGAGTAAATTTTTTTTTTTTTTTTTACTCAAGATGTAAATCCCGCGGTGCACGTAAAAACACATTGTAATGTGAATATTTTCAGCGTGAACATGATCTATCAATTTAAATCAATAGCTACATATGTCACAGTTGCAAAGTTTGTGGCTTTTGATGCCTATATGTTCTTAAATAGCTGGTCGGTCTCGTCTAAAAATCATGTCCGCAAGGCTTATGTCTCTAAGGAAAGCGAAAAGAATGTATGTTTTATGCAACATGGTATTGGTGACAAGAAATTCCATGAGGATAAACGTGTTATAAAAAATAAAACCCAACAGTATTTTAAGAAGATAATTGCTCTTTATACATTAAGGAATGCACCTGGTGATGTTACAACAAAATTTAAAAATAAAAGACTTTAAATGCGACTCTACATTCATACAAGGTAATTGCATAAAGCTTACATAAAGGTATTCATAAAAAGGAATTTAAATACTTAAGAAAAAAACAATAAATTGGAGTATGTTTTGATTTTAACTTTAGTAGGTCAATGATTTTAGATTTTAACAATGTTTGTTTTATAAATGTGTTAATATATTGTACTATAAAATGATATGAAACTAACTTTCAGCTAAATTAAACGAAATACAATTTGGATATGATTAAAAAAAACAAAAACACATATGCAAATTATATTAGTGTTTACGACAAAGATATTATATTGGTGTATTAACATGCAAATTACACAGAAAACAAATAATTGGAATTTATATATATATATATATAAATAAAATCAATATTTACTTAGTAAATCGAACCAAAATAGCAAAATATAGATTATAGCTCATAAACAAAAAGAAATATACAAATATTGTTTCACACAATTCATAATGATCCTGAGTTATGGTTCGCATTTCATAACTAAAAATAAATAATTAAAAAGCTATTTGTAAGTTGTTTTTTTTTATTTAAAAAAAAAAAATAAAAATAATTTAGAATCAATTTAATTTATAGAACATATTTAAAAATTCTGCCGGAACAGAATGTGAGGCCTTTCATGGTATGGTAATAAGGGGCGGACACAGCAAACAGGTTTTGTTATATGACATAAGCGAACTAAAGATGGAGAAAACTGAAAAGACGACGAAGCAAAAGAACGAATGATTGCAACGTCATTGTATGCACTTGCTGCCAAATGGCGTATCTCAGTGAGACCGACAGTTGTAACAAAAGACTCAGTAACATTACACAAGACAAACAAGGTCCCATCTCCAAACACTTCAATAGTAGCGACCACCAGGGAAGACGGACTTTTCAATAAGTGTGATCGTGGCTAGCAGAAACACAACAAGCCGGGTGAACTTGGAACACCAGCTTATCCTGACTCATGGCACATTGACACCACATGGGATGAATGTCATGTCTATTTTCACAACTTGAACCTAGCCGCCCCCCCTTCCACATCTCGACCTTTCACAGTGACCTTAGTTCTCCTCTTTTATTTCGCTTTCCCCTATTTAATCTCTCACTCACTTAATTTCTGTTTCATTTCAGTTGCTGCCCACAGATACTACTTATAAGCTAAGTGATATTTTTTATTTTATTTTTATTCAGTTTTTTCTGTTGTTTTGTTGCACACGTTTGTTTCTTGTTTGTGTTTTTTTTTTTTTTTTCTTTTTTTTTTTTTTTTTTTTTTTGTTTTTTTTTTGCGTTCCTTTTTTTAAGGTTTAACCCTACTTTGTTTTACTCATTTAATATTGTTCTAACCTCAAAGCAGTCTCTCCCCTTATTACCCTGAGTGAGACCGCACACCTCTGTATTTCTGCTTAGAATAGTCAATGTTCTATCTCAAAAATTTTAAAAAGAAATGACAAGATTTCACAAAAGTTTGGTATCATCGCCAAAGTGTCTTGTACGAACACCCCTAACCGAGAGAATTTGTCATATCAGCTGATTCAAACTTATGACACCGATTGGCATGAATTCCATGTTCTCATTATTTTGATCAAATTTTCTAGGCCCCTACTCGTTACGATTAATAACAACGGACTTAATTTTCCTCATAGGTCTCGGATTTTGATATATGTAATAACACAACTACATATGTTTTGTTATGGTCCTGTTTCTGTCCTTTTTGATACTACGTTGTGTTTAAGTGTATATTCTTTTATTTTTAACGTTGTTGTTTCGCTAAAAAAGGCTTTTTGTCAACCTTTTTCCCCTACTTTTTGCCAGGTTTGTCCATACTTTGTTTTGCTCATTTCATTTTCCAATATAACAAAAAATTAAGAATTAAAATCAATCAACTTAACATTAACAAGCACAGATTTAAAAGCAGTGGGATGGTAAATTTGATAAAATTTTCGCCACTATTCATTAAAGTGGTTATGGGAACTTTCGAAGTTGGAGTGGAAGATAAGATCGCGTTGGTGTTAGTTTCGGTAGTCGTGTTGACAGTAGTCATAAAACTTTCGACTGCAGACGTCACCAGACTTGTCTGCTTCAAAGTCTTCAGAGTCGTATCTTGAGTTGTGTTCAGATCTGTCAATTTGATTTTAAAAAAAAGAAATATGCTTAATTTAAAAGGAATCTTTCTGAACGTATCCGACATTTACTATTTTGGACGTAGATAATCTCATTTACATTTACACTGCGGAATTGTTTTATAAAAATGAAAAATCAGGTGTTTGGTAAATACAACCGCAAATAGATATACAGCTGTAAACAAAGCCACCATTCTAGTGAAAATTAGTAAATTTATGTGATCACAAATATTTTATGGTATACTGATTTTTTTTTGTTATTTTTTTTTACTATGTTTCATATGATGTTCATAGTTTGCTAGCAATAATTGATGTGTTTTATATCAAATATTATGTTTATTCCATGTTGTGTCTTTGTGAATATTTATCAGGTTTACTTCCATGTGATGTCTTTGTTATAAATTCCATTGTTTTAAATTGCATTGAACGTTGAATAATATGTTCAAGGGTAACATTGAAAATAGTTGGTTTGTTTTGAAATTCGGATTAATTCGTTTGTTAATGAAACTGAATATAATTATAATAGTGACACTGTTGTGACTGTGTCTCATTTAAACACCGATGCGTATGTGTCTCATTCTTTACATGCACGTTGACAATATATCTCCTAAACCGATGTAAAAGGACATTTACAAGAAATACCGTCAAACATGCACAGAAATGCATATTGCTCTGAACATTTTAAATCATAAAGTTCCTTCTCTGTTGCAGACTTTACGTAGAATTGCGCACATTCTTGGTCTTGATGACTGGCTCCCCAAAACTGGGATAACTCTGCGGCAACAGTATTGTCATATTCCCAAATCCAGTTTCCCTTTACAGTATCGTATTTGGCTCCGATCCAGAAGATGTCTCCTGGAATGCCAATGTATTTATTCAAATGTTTTAGTTGAGTTTAGGATAATAATAATATTTTGTGAGCGAAAGCTTAACAGAATATGTTCATCAATTAACAAAGAACCAATGACGCAGAAAGAAAAGCTTGTGTAAAATGGAGGAATTGGGACGAAGGTTGTCGATGGACTTTAGCTGTCTCAGATAAGATCTTAGTCAATTTGTCTATCGTCTGTTGAGCGAGGGGAAGAGAGGGAGAAAGAGGGAGGGAGTGAAGAAGAGAAAGGAAGAGAAAGAGAAAAAAAAGAGATAGATGACCGGATATTTTTTTTTTACTTAATGTCTAGAAGATGTGTCAACATCAAATATCGGTATCGCCAAATTTTAAAAATTTTGGGAAATTTTAAAACTTTTCATGAATAACTTGGGTCATGTTGAGACTTCATTACTTAAAAGTCAAGGCTGTTTAAGTTTGTTTGAAATTGAATATTTACAAAGGACTAAAAAAAACGATCAACTTGATTTGTTTAAAAGTTAAAATAACATGACATGCAGATTACGTGAATAAAACGGACAATTTGTAGAAATTGGTCAGTAAACAATGCATTACAGAAAGAAATTGTGATTGAATTAATGATAATCCTTTTCTTTTTTTTTTTAAAGAAAAATAAATCAACCCTATAATTACTGATGGCATGTAAGAAAATTATGCCAAGGAAGCTTGACGACCCATGAGTTGTCAGTTACCAAGTCAAAGCTTGCAGATACAATTTATGGACAAATTTAAAAAAAAAGATTTGATTTGATTGATATTTATATCGTGCTGGCATCGATGCCACTTTGGCATGCTCACTGCGCTCTGGTCGTCCGAAATCTATTTCAACAAAAAAGGTTTTAACTCTTTCTTATATGATTTTTTATTATTTATAATTTCCTTCAAAGATTGAGGCAAACTGTTCCATAATTTTGGCGATATCTCTTCAAAAGAGGGCACTCCTTACGACTTTTTTTCTGTGTTCATCCAAACTAGGAACACTCAGTAAGTTCTGTGTTGAAGACCCCAGGCTCTTCAGGGGTACATGTTTATACATCAGTTCCTTGATATATTTCGGTTCTAGCCAAAGCCTTATATGCAGCTGTACGTCAGGGACAGGATTTTTGTAGTTAATGCGCTTACTCACAGGAACCCATTGGAGATCTCGTAGAAGTGGGGTGATGTTTTCAGATTTATTCATCCACGATACAAAGGGTGTTGCAGTATTTTGTATATTTTTTAGTTTTTGAATTTGGTTCTGAGGCAAACCCCACAAACAAATATTACGGAATCCAATCATGACTGGATTAGAGTTACTGCTACATCATTGGCTGTTCTCTTATTGAGTTGAGAACGCAGCTGACCCAAGGCGCGTAGATGACAGACGCATGCCTTGACAACAGAACTGATATGGGAAGTCATACTAAGTTTACTGTCAATATAAAAGACAAGGTCTCTGACAGTCGAGGACAACGGCATGTCTGATTCACCAACTTTTTTTATTGCAATGGTAATTTTCAGAAGATTGGCGTCTGAAACACAAACAATTGCCTCAGTCTTATCATCATTTAATTTTAGTCTGTTTGGTGACATCCAATCTTTCCCAGCAAGACAGCAGACCTTAACAGTCTGAACAGCAGTAACACACTCCAATGATCAAGTCGGAAACACTTATATAATTTTGTGTCATTTGCAATATTTTGTGAAAAAAGAAAGGAAACATGGACTGAGAAAATGATAGAGAACAAGATACAGTTATCATTGCACTCTGGTACTAAATAGCCTAACTAAAAAGACAACTAAAATGTACTATGAAATAAATTAGATGTTAATTAACACATTATATTCCATGGATAACCGACGGGAGAACAATATGTTGATGATACATATTGGCACCAATTTGCACCGTAGGAGTTGCCATAATTTTTCATTTTGTTCATGTTATCCACTTACGGGCCTCAAGCTACAGGTTGAAATTCAGAGATTCCTTCTCTTAGATGAGTGCAACCAAAGGCTATCGAATCCCACAAACCAATGTGGTGCCTTTTTAATTAGGTAATATAATACCCGACATAAAAATGAATAGGATTGGCTAGCTGTTGAAAATGATTTCGACCATCCTCATTGAAATGTTACAAGAGCATGGGCTCAAGTTACTGCGTTAATACAACTTTATTGTTAAGCAGGCCACACGCCTTGTGGTAGATCACGAGCTGTACCTCATTGTGAGTACTTTTGGGTCGAAGAAGGCAGAAGGATAGTTTATTTCCTTATACTCAATGACTTACCGCTTATTGTCTGTTCGGTTGCTTCAAGTAACTGATTCCTTGACGTGAGCTTTGCCAGAACTCCACCTTGTGATTTGCATACAGCCTATAGTGGACATATATTATATTGAAATCATAATTTTATGTCTTAATTAAACCACATAGCTCTACAGTAATCTTACTCAAGAGAGTTTTGCTGCTGGTTTTTTGTGTGAATTTTTTTTTTCCATTTCTGTTTCACTTTTATTAGGAAGATATCGGGATGAAAACAAAAGTTATAAAAAGGGGAGATAATAAACCACACACAAACCGAAACACATCAACTCAGTTCTCTGAGGCAGAAGCCTACAGTCATTCAGCTATGCATTTTGAAAGCACCTAATTTTCGAAAAAAAAAAAAACTTTTTTTTTATAATTTAAATTTTACGACACGCACAGCTGTTAAAGGCGAAAGTTAGACATGTGTAAATAATTGATTTGGGTGTCCACGTTGCCGAAGTGTAGGATGTGGCATTTGAAACACACTGCACACCAGTACACAAAACACTTGACACAAAGTTAGCTGCAGTTATATTTATTTCCCTACCCTTTATTTTAAGTGCTCCCTTTAGTATTGTGAGGTCAAATAACAAAGTTAGCCAATGAATCATATATACTAACCATATCACTGGCAAGAAAACTAACAAAAACTATCGTAATATTATTTCGTTCAGGGTCATTTACTGTCCGCCTCATCTACTGTCCACATGCACACAATTAACCCTTTAAGTATTTTATTTCTTTATAGTATTTCTACGTATAGGGCCTGATTTGCGTTCAGACACACTAAATCTCTCTTCTCATTCATATCACATGGACCCTCCGAGAAGAGTCTCAGAGAATTGAAACACTTTGACAGTCTAGATGTAGTGACGTCGGGTCTGAGTTCAGGCACACCAGACTTGCTTTCTCTTTTCATTTATTTTAAGTGGACCACTCCAGGAAACGGACTCTCATTCTTTATCTGTAAAGTCTGGAAGTTGTGACGTCATATAGTTTTTCAATAGCGGCTTCTCAAATACACCTGGAACGATTTATACCGCACCGACCTAAGAATTATAAAAAAAACCCTACTGTCTTTTAAACTTGACCAGACCAAAGAGACGCTATTCAAAAGTTCCAGCATAATTACATTTGCATCCGAAAAGGAAAGAAGTGTTTCATTATACAGGAAACATGAACCTTCAGACAAAACTGCCCCTTGCAACCTGCATTCTGAAAAAAAATGTAATCTTTAAGTTGATTAAGATCGTACAGGTAATGAAAGACAACTTTGCTATTCTATGTAGTAAAAGTATATTAAAAAAGAAAACAACAAAACGTAGAAAATAGAGACATCTCTAAGTTCCTTTTAACACAATATCCAATATAAGAAAAGTGGGAACAATTGCTATATAAAGTAATTAAATTTTTCATGTATTTACAATAAAAGTTATACATACAAAAACAATATTTTTATTAAAAAAATATTCAAAAAAATTATAAAAATGTCTTGACAGAAATAAGCATGTGAAGTTTAGTTGCTTCGTTTGTTTGCTATTTGTTTGTTTGTGTTTTTTTGTATTTGTTCTATGTTCACTCACATTGATATGGAAAAAAAAAACAAAAAACAAACAAACTTCTTCCAAATTTACACAAAAATTACATTTTTAAATACACTTTGACTTACCACTTCTTACAGCCGGTAGACTTGCAAATGAAAGAACTAAAATAAAATGCACAAGTTTCTTTCCCATTTGTGAATGTCTGTGTACAAGAAATACTGTGTCCAATTTTAGAACATTCAAACAATATTATTTAAAGGAAATATTTTCTATTTCTAAATGATCAACATTTTAATCAAACATGATAAGAACAGTTTGAGTAAACTACTGTACAAAAAACTAGTACGTGTTTAAAAAGAGTTTATTTTATATTACTTGTTTTTATGTACAGTGAAATACTTTATAACGCGAAAACTCTAAACATGAAAAAGATTTAACACTAAATAATAATGCGAAACCGACAAAATACTTAACCTCCTGAGTCTAGGCGTGCAGCCCACTGGACAATAGTTTTCTGTCTTATTCTAACTTGGTAGCTAATTTTCGTTTGGATCCTCTTGTGTAGCCTGCTAGACACACAAACCAAACACAAAAATGCTTTGCTAGTTGAACAGCGCACCCTGCATTTAGCTGAAGATCCTTCTCTGCTACATCTTGAAAAAGAATTTGAATCAATATCTGGATTATCAGAGAGATGGGCAACTTGTTAATGAAAACCTGGATTGGGCACAGGGACTCTTTTTTTTTCCTCTCTATTTTCAAAGGTGACGTCATCAAATGGAGGAGTGCTTTTTTCAGGCTTAGTTGCTCCATGTCTTCTCGGTCCCAGTATTGAAACTATGCATTTACAGTAGCTTGGTCCAACATATGGAATATTACTCTGATTGACCATTTGGAATTTATTGCTCAAGTAGCGTAATAGCCCCAACGTTCGGTCACACAAGTCGACACCTCCCATGTTGTGATTACATTGTTTTGTTAGAAATGGACACTATATAATTGTGTTCCTTTTTTGACCATAGTAAACACTGTTTAGTTGGAGCCATCGATTCTGCAATATTTGGCACCCTATTTGAAGTTGTCCAGTACATTTGTATTGAGGGATACAACGGGCAAGAAATCTCCATGCAAATTCCAAGAATTTTTTTTTATTTCTTCGGCTGTAACGGAACCAGTATGCAGATTGGTGAAAAGTCTGTGTCTGTGTAGAATTGTTCATCAAAACATTGATGGAAATAATCCAAAGGTTCAACCCTACAAGATTTGTGATTGGGTTTTGTAATCAATTGTTTGTTGTTTTTTTACGTATTGCAAAAAATGATTTGGATCCCGATGTCCAGTGGACTGCACATCAAATAAATCAAATATCAAAATCAAATTTTTTTGTTTCAACGTTTTTTAGCCTTTTAGAATCACTTATAGCACAATAAAATAGGTGTCAAGTTGATTTCACTCTAACTTGCCTCTCGGGACTCAGGAGGATAAGGTATTGTCATATTTGTTTTTGTTTAATACGACCAGGAAGCAAAAATAGTGCAACACAAACAGATTTCGCTTCTAGGCATGAAAACAATAAATCCACCTGACGGCGAGAATGAAGGGGGCTGAAATATAAAAAAAAATGGCGGTTTTTTGTTTGAAAGACTCGGCTTTGAAATACCGGCACTAAAGAAGGAGCCGTTGGGATGAGACGACCATGCTAATCTAAATAACAATGCCCCCCCCCACCTACTTTTTTTTATACCTGATTTCTTTAAACTTTTTATCAAAAAGAAAAACGATTTTTTTTTTTTCTTACGTGGAAATATCGTTGGTACAAGAATTATAAAGAAACATCTTATCAGTTTGTTTTCGTATTGGGTGATGGGTTATTGAAGTCTTGATAGTGTGCGTTGAAATCATTGATGTGTGTATTGAAGTCTGGTATTGTGTGTTGCAGTAGTTAAATCTTTTGTAATATTCGGACACATTTTTTATTGTTTTTACTGTTAGTACTATTTTTTCTTATTTTATTTTGATTACGTGCACAAAAGCTTGGAACTCGTGACTGCTACTTCGCTTAAAATCCATATGGAGCTGCTTAAGGCACTTGATAAAAAATATAGGTCGACAACAGAAATCTGTAAAGCGTTTGGTATTGATAACTCTACATTGTCAACGATACATTGAAAAAAAAAAAGAATAACATGGCAATTCTTGGAACTGAATATGTTCAAAACAGACCAAATGAAATGATTGGGAGACTGCATTAAAATGTTGTTTTTTCCACAACGTTAGGTCTCAGAATGATCCCATATCAAGGAGCGTTAATACTGGAAAGAGTAAAAGAACTTGCAATAAAGAAATACATTCAATAAATAAGTACAAAAAATGAATTTAACTCCGACCAAGCTGTCTTATTTTACCGCTGCTTTCCTAGTAACACTTTATCGTTTAAGGGACACTCGTTTAAAGGAGCGGGGGGGGGGGGGTAATCACTTTAGTACTAATTACGGCATTGGACGAATACAATTCTGATGGATTTAAATCTACCGTTATTTGTTATAGGTAAAGGGGTAAAACCGGGATGTTTTATATATGTAAGAATATTATCGGTTGAACATGCGGCCAAAAAAATAAAATGCCTTGTAGCTGTTATGTTAACTGACTCGATTCCAAATTTGGATAAGATATTTTCAGGAGAGAGCTTTAATTGTTCAATGATAATTGATAATTGTCCAGCACACAGCAACCTTACATTAAAAGCAAAATAGCAAATCTTTTTGCCTCCGAAAATCAAAAGGGTTTTATAACCGTGTGAACAAGGCATTATAGAAAACTTACAATTTTTATATCGAAAGCAATTTTTTCGAAATGATTACATGAACTCATAGAAAAATAAGATGGTCACTCGAATTTTTTTTTAACTGCCCTAGATATGTAGCACTCTGCAGTTTATTTAGTGACACCACAGACGTTTGTAGATTGTTTTCCTCATCCAGGATTATCAAAAGTGTCTCTGTCGCTTGACACGAATTTGTGGACATTAAAACTGAGCAGACACTTAATAAAATATTTTTGGAAAGTTTCGACATCGTTAGACTTTTATACAGTATAATTGGATTAGTTCGTTTATTATGGCATAAAAAGACATTTTTAAAATGGTTCAGTGATCAAAAGATCTTTTTTGATGTAGATTACAACGATGAATTAGACCATAAGACGTATCGAGGTCATTCTATTGACACATAATAATAAAACAACGGCTCCTGTGAAGTTTAATAATTGGGTGAAATATTCTTTGTAGACCACATTTTTTGGTGGAAACTCTGTTGTTCTTCTTTAAGCTCCATTTCTTTTAGTAATATACAAAAAAAACTTACTTCAGAAAGTATTTTTTTCTTGAAAATTTTTTTGCCACATAATTAAACATCTCTATTTTTTTATACGTGCATGCATTGCATTTGTTTTTGTATTTAAACTGTAAGCCTAGCCACCACGAGGCTACACAAGAAATAGAATGCATAGTTGTACGTTATGTGTTTTACTGAGGCAGCTATTTATTTATAAACGTCAATGATGTATAAGATTATACTGTTAACGTAGCATTTAAGAACACTCTGAGGGTCAATTTGAACCATTTTGAACTTCAGTGTTCCCTTCCAGAGGTCATTTGAAAAACAACAACTTTTATGTGACTTAGTTGCAGATGTCCATATTAATAATAATAATAATAATAAGACGTCTTATCTAGCGCGGTACCCCAGCCTAGGGCTGAGCTCACCTTACTGTACATACAAATTTTATCAAAAGAGACATAGTCATGACATTAAAGTAAAATACATTTATGAAATAAATAACAGCAATGTATATTCACCCACCCCACCACATCAATTTTACAAGGCAAACCATGGACGGCAGCCAGCAAGATCGTTTATCGGTCAGAGGAGGGGAATCACTAAGGGTAGTATAGTTTAAAAAGATGTGTTTTGACTGCAGTTTTGAAGGCATGGGTGGTCGGTATATTGCGTATGTTTAGTGGCAAATAATGTCATTGTTTGGGGGCGCAGAAAGAGAAAGATCGTTCTCCATATTTTTTTTATTATGTGTCTTGGGAACGGTCAGAATACGCGTGTCTGCGGAGCTGTCGAACGGGTGAATAGACAGAAATAAAGTATTCCACACTTAGAGTTTTATTTGCAACTGTTTTAAAATCTATTCAAAACACATTAGTTCTCCACTCACCATAGTTTTTAGGTCTATCCCAGCCCATTTTTATTTTGTTTTCCTTACAAATTAGAGGTCAATTCGTTACACAGAGGACATTTTTGCCACATATTAGATGACTATTTTCCATCTTAAATAGGTAGAATTTGCCGTTTTTAAAGCACATTATCTTATTAATGTCCTTGACAAAATTAAAATTAACTCGAAATGAAACCTTCAAATTGTTTATAAGGTTTAATTCATGTTTGAGTTGATATGACCAGTCCTACTTAACATACGGCCATGGGACGCATGCAGCCGCAGGCACCCCTTTTGCGGCCAGCCGGCACAAACTTCGCGATCCACAAATTATTAGCTAAATATTATTTATTCTTCTTATATTTTTATTAGCCCCTCCCCCCCTCCCCACCGCTACCACCCCAGTCTGTCGTATTAGCGTTTGACCAGCTCAAGTTTTTCATACACTTTTAACTACCAGCCTAACGTTTTGAGTTGTTCAGACTTGGATATGAGGGAGTGTTAAACATTGTATGCTAGAATTCAATATTTATGTTTTAGTTTCATTTTACATGGCATATATTGCAAACTTTAGATTGAAAACTTTATAGTTGCCAATTTTATTGATTGAAAATAAACTTCTAAAAAGCAGTTTGACAACCTATTTGTAATGTAACAAACCTACATCTAGATTAGATCATGGTAGTTCTTTCGTCTGTTATTCGGTTGGTAACGCTTGAAGTAATTGACGAACACCTTTTAATTTAGTGCAATTTATTTGGTTATGCGTGTTTATTTGCTACGATGGTTCAACACTGAAATTAAGATTAGGACGTAGCTATCAGCCAATATATTTTATCCTAGTTTTTTTTATTTTCAATGCGTTTTTTTTTTTTTTTTTTTTTGTTTTCCTCTTATTCAGTTTTGTTTAAATTTTTTTTTTTTTTTTTTTTTTTTTTTTTTTTTTTTTTTTTTTATTTTTTTTTTTTTTTTTTTTTTTTTTGGTATTCCTCTGATTCAGTTATGTTTAAATTTTATCATTGAGAAATTTATTCTAAGGTTTTTTACTGGAAAGGCTAGCATAGGAAATACATGACAGTAAATTTATCAAACAATTGTAAATAATTTGTTTTTAAAAGTATATTTATAAAATAATTATATATATATATATATATAAAATATATATATATATATATATAATATATATACATATATTAAAAATAAACTGCCGATGGATACTAACTTATAAAGACACAGGTTAGTGGTTAAGTGTGTGAGATCCTTTACTTGAAGAGACTCCAGGAAAAGGCCAGATATTTTGTTTTATACTTAGATTTGTAAGAAATAATGTTTACCAACAACATCTTGCTACAAATACATACACAATTCCACTCTCCGCGTAACTGTTTATGCTGCTTACCTTGACTTGAATCTTTGAGTTATAAGACAGTGACTAACTCAAAGCCTGTGATCAGGCCCTTAGGATTGTTCATGTATTTATAGACGCGTAACACGTTGTATTCAATGATATTTTATTTTTAGGACATGGCAGTCTGGTCGATGAAACAATGCATGGACGTCTCGATCAGAGTTGTAAAACAGGTTTGTCTTTCCGTTACTGCCGACCACTTAAACAAGTTATGTTATAATTTTGTTACACTTGCCTGCGCTCAACTGACGATAAGGTCGCTTTGACATTTATATACTCGACACAACAGATTTTTCAACATTAGCAACAAGGGGCCATTCCAAAATTACCGTCCTAGAGGTCGGAGGTTGAGTTCTCTTTTGATATTTTAACACTTGTAAATGGGGAATTTTCATAGATTACCTACGTTGTTAAGTGAGATCTATACTATTTTAACATTAGCCATAATGGGCCATACTATTTTAACATTAGCCATAATGGGCCATACTATTTTAACATTAGCCATAATGGGCCATACTATTTTAACATTAGCCATAATGGGCCATACTATTTTAACATTAGCCATAATGGGCCATACTATTTTAACATTAGCCATAATGGGCCATACTATTTTAACATTAGCCATAATGGGCCATACTATTTTAACATTAGCCATAATGGGCCATACTATTTTAACATTAGCCATAATGGGCCATACTATTTCAACTACGCTGTAATGTGGCGCGTGTTTTGGCTTATTACATTTAAAATTAGTCGTAAATCTGCCATCCATATAATACGTACGTCATTATGGGACATCCATATATTACTTACGTCACAAGGGCCATCAATATATTAACTACAATATTAGGGGCCATCAACATGTTAAATAAGTCATAAGGAGCCATACAAATATTATCTACGTAGTAAGGGACATTAATATAACACATGCGTCATCCAGGGCCATCCAGATATTACCTTCGTCATAATGGACCATCCAGATATTACCTTCGACATCCGGGGCGATCCAGATATTACCTTCGTCATTAGGGACCATAACATTAACTTCGTCATAAGAGACCTTAACATTACCTTTGTCATAAGGGACCATCCATATATTACCTTCGTCATAAGGGACCATCTAGATAGTACCTTCGTCATAAGGTACTATCCAGATATTACATACTTTCTGACAGAAGTTGCTGTTAACTTTTAATATTTTTAATGGTTCCAAAGATCCTTTTGGACACATTTCCCCAAAAATATGCAATTAAATACATTGCGAACGTTTATGTAGAGTAGACAAAGAGAATAAAGAAGTATAAAGAAGAAAACAAGATAAAGGTGAAACTAGACGATAAGCCCAACTGTATAAACATGAAATAAGAGCCTCCTTTATTTGCGCGGTCCAAGAACTTGACAAAAAGTCACCATTGGAAGGGAAAACGCTGTATGAAACACGAAACTTAAAGTCACACCGAGTCCGAAGGGTCTTACAATAAATTCATGTACACGCGGGTTACCACAAAATGAACGAGCGAAATTTCTAGGCAGTCTAGAGTCCACCCAGACACAACAAAACAACCCAAAGACGGTGTCGAATCATGAAGAAAATACTACTTTCATAAGAAGTTGATCAAGACGAATGTTTAAATGGAAAGAGGGCTCCGAAGTATTAATGGCACATGTCGCACGCAAAGAAGAAAAACAAAAACCAAGGGTTGACATTAAAACGAAGTCACCATAGTCTAAGCTCACAAATGAGATCAGAACGCCGTCTTTCTGGAGGCTACTTCAATAGGATACATAGACTTTGACACCCGAGATCTTCGTCTCTTTGGGAGGTTCCTGGACACAGTAGTGAATTTACTAGCCGATTGCCCGATACTAACGCCTGGCGGGCTTTTGGGAACGCTCCAGAAGTTCACTTTGAAAGAATACTCTATGCCGACCACTAGCAAATATCGGCTAGTTTCGAAAGAAATGTACGGGCCATAAAAGGGCGTTAGCTCCATCCAGATAAGAGAGGGTAATAGTTATAATTCAGTACATACTGTAACATTATAAATGAGTATCTCCTCAGTTAGTTACAAATACTAGATTCTTTTTAAAAAAAACAACAAATGTATGTATTACATTTATTAATGATCGTTAGTTTTTAAAGAAAGAGTGGAATTGTAAAAGGATAAATAATATAGTATACTAGCCTGCAAAACATAGGCGACGGCAATGTGTGAACTTCCCATCAACTAAAGTTACTTGACAAAACATGAACTCAAGTATAGCACATTTATGAATTCCAATTTTTCCTACAACCCCCTTCCTATGAGACGTCACTGCACATTTAGCGTAGTTATCAGGAATTATATTTTGCGCGCTAGTGAACTCATTATCTATATATAACTTGCATGGCGGTTGTGGTGTTTGACCTTTGCTTGCGAATTATATATATAGATTTATTTTTATAATGTATATGACAGGAGTTTTAATCTGCACTTTGTTGCCATATTGTGAAACGAAATGGTATTTTATTATGTTCATAATGGTTTAATGTCTTCTACATGAAATAAGTATAGCCAAATTCCGATAATATTAATTTTTTTAGTAATGCATATTCGTACGAATATGAACAGTAACTTTTTAATTTTTGACTTTGCTTTCCAAGAGACACATTTAAAAAAAAAAAAATTAAATTATAAAAAAAGAAGAAAAAAGAAAATTAACAAAACATTGATGTCGTATTGATAAAAAAAGACGACGAATCATCGTTTAAATTAAACTTTGAATTTCGGAGATATTAATCACAACTGTCTGAGCTAAAATGCCTGCCTATTAATTAAGTGATATCTTTTCACGCAATAATATGTTTTATTTTTAGGTTGCCTGAGGGAAAGAAACGTGTTTTGAAATGTTAAATGTATTTCTAAAATAAGAGCACATATTTTCTGAGCTGCCAGATACATAATTTCGTGAGAGATTATGCTTGTACCTTGGACAAAAAAGGGCTACACAGAGAGTCTATCAGACGTCAAAACACTGTTCGTAACCTAGGGCAATAAAGAGATTATTCATATTCTAATAAGCGCACACTAATCAATGGCCATACATGATTTAACATGACAGGAACAAAAAAAACCTGCATGGCTTATGTCCAAGGATATATCGATCACATACACAAAAAGATCCATTATCTGATAATGTATTTTCTCCTTCTAAAAAATAAAATTAATAATATAATTGATTGTTTTTTAAATTGTTAAAAAAACAATTTGTAAGTTTTTTTTTTTTTTTTAAAATTAATTAGGTTTTACTTTTTTTTTTTTTCAAAAAATTACTTTTATGAAATTTATAAAGTACTGAAAATATACCATGTTATATACTTTTCATACGAAAATACCGTTAAATGCAATCAGTGCAGTGAAACTCCATATCCAAATGGCATTCACTAATGCACTTATCACTCATCCAAATAAGAACAAAGCATGTGAAATGCAAAAAACAAAAAAAAATCTTTGCCTAAGTAAGGGCATTAAAATACCGAAGATGATTTTTTTTTTATTTCCTTAATGCTCAGTTTGGGGGGAGGGGGGGGGATTAATATGAGAGTTTGCTTTGCCCAAGGNAAAACAGAGTATGGTTAAACCTGAAAAATTAAACGCAACAAAACAGCGAACGTGTCGGCAGAAAGCCTTCGTCAGCGAACAAAACAACAGAAAAAACGTTATAAAAATAAGAAATAGCACTTAGCTGGTAAGTAGTATCTGTGGGCAGCAATCGAAGTGTGGCAGAAGGAAAATGAGTGAGAGTTTAAATAAGCAGAGAGAGGGAAAGAGGGAGCATGGGGTAGAAAAATAGAGAGAGAAAAAGGGGAAAGAAATAAATAGAGACAGAAGAGAAGTAAAAGGGAATGGTAGGTAGCGATATAGAGCAAGAGAGAGATAGAGAGAGAGCGAAGAAGAAAATAATAGGTGCTTTAAAGGAGCTTACTATACGATTTAAATTAACATTTTTTCAATTAACCTGAAATGTACTTCAGGCAGAAGATGTGTTCAAAATGCACCGACAGCTTAAATACACTGATTGATTACCTATGTGTTGAATTTAATGTTGTATAAGTGGCCTTTGCTCGCAATGCATGTCTGAGATCTGTAACAATAGATCGTCTTTTTAAAAAGCTTTGCAAGTGCATTAAGCGATCAATAGTTTTTAGTTAACTGAACGTTGTCTATGAAAACAGTGTGTACTTGTCTTGTCGACAAGAGCAAGACAGTTATTTTTTAATGAAATTATTCCACCACTGTTCAAAAAAGATGTCTATTATTAAAGCTTAAAAAAAGCTTTTGTGCTCTGGCTATTCAGACATTACCATTGTAAGAGGGATTTTGTATTCAATCATAAGAGGGCTATTTGGACATTATCAACATGTTCAGAGGGAGGTTATGTTAATGTATAAGGGGAACATTTAGACATTATCAACATGTTCAGAGGGAGGTTATGTTAATGTATAAGGGGAACATTTAGACATTATCAACATGTTCAGAGGGAATTTATGTTCATGTATAAGGGGACCATTTAGACATTATCAACATGTTCAGGGGGAGGTTATGTTCATGTATAAGGGGACCATTTAGACATTATCAACATGTTTGTGGGAGGTTATGTTAATGTATAAGGGGACCATTTAGACATTATCAACATGTTCAGGGGGAGGTTATGTTCATGTATAAGGGGACCATTTAGACATTATCAACATGTTCAGAGGGAGGTTATATTAATGTATAAGGGGACCATTTAGAAATTATCAACATGTTCAGAGGGAGGTTATGTTAATGTATAAGGGGACCATTTAGACATTATCAACATGTTTGTGGGAGGTTATGTTAATGTATAAGCGGAACATTTAGACATTATCAACATGTTCAGAGGGAGGTTATGTTCATGTATAAGGGGACCATTTAGACATTATCAACATGTTCAGAGGGAGGTTATGTTCATGTATAAGGGGACCATTTAGACATTATCAACATGTTCAGAGGGAGGTTATGTTCATGTATAAGGGGACCATTTAGACATTATCAACATGTTCAGAGGGAGGTTATGTTCATGTATAAGGGGACCATTTAGACATTATCAACATGTTCAGAGGGAGGTTATGTTCATGTATAAGGGGACCATTTAGACATTATCAACATGTTCAGAGGGAGGTTATGTTCATGTATAAGGGGACCATTTAGACATTATCAACATGTTCAGAGGGAGGTTATGTTCATGTATAAGGGGACCATTTAGACATTATCAACATGTTCAGAGGGAGGTTATGTTCATGTATAAGGGGACCATTTAGACATTATCAACATGTTCAGAGGGAGGTTATGTTCATGTATAAGGGGACCATTTAGACATTATCAACATGTTCAGAGGGAGGTTATGTTCATGTATAAGGGGACCATTTAGACATTATCAACATGTTCAGAGGGAGGTTATGTTCATGTATAAGGGGACCATTTAGACATTATCAACATGTTCAGAGGGAGGTTATGTTCATGTATAAGGGGACCATTTAGACATTATCAACATGTTCAGAGGGAGGTTATGTTCATGTATAAGGGGACCATTTAGACATTATCAACATGTTCAGAGGGAGGTTATGTTCATGTATAAGGGGACCATTTAGACATTATCAACATGTTCAGAGGGAGGTTATGTTCATGTATAAGGGGACCATTTAGACATTATCAACATGTTCAGAGGGAGGTTATGTTCATGTATAAGGGGACCATTTAGACATTATCAACATGTTCAGAGGGAGGTTATGTTAATGTATAAGGGGACCATTTAGACATTATCAACATGTTACGAGGGAGGTTATGTTAATGTATAAGGGGACCATTTAGACATTATCAACATGTTCAGAGGGAGGTTATGTTCATGTATAAGGGGACCATTTAGACATTATCAACATGTTCAGAGGGATGTTATGTTAATGTATAAGTGGACTATTTAGACATTATCAACATATTTGTGGGAGGTTACTTTAATGTATAAGGGGACCATTTAGACATTATCAACATGTTCAGAGGGAGGTTATGTTCATGTATAAGGGGACCATTTAGACATTATCAACATGTTCAGAGGGAGGTTATGTTCATGTATAAGGGGACCATTTAGACATTATCAACATGTTCAGGGGGAGGTTATGTTCATGTATAAGGGGACCATTTAGGCATTATCAACATGTTTGTGGGAGGTTATGTTAATGTATAAGGGGACCATTTAGACATTATCAGCATGTTTGTGGGAGGTTATGTTAATGTATAAGGGGACCATTTAGACATTATCAACATGTTTGTGGGAGGTTATGTTAATGTATAAGGGGACCATTTAGAAATTATCAACATGTTCAGAGGGAGGTTATGTTAATGTATAAGGGGACCATTTAGACATTATCAACATGTTCAGAGGGAGGTTATGTTAATGTATAAGGGGACCATTTAGACATTATCAACATGTTTGTGGGAGGTTATGTTAATGTATAAGGGGACCATTTAGACATTATCAACATGTTCAGAGGGAGGTTATGTTCATGTATAAGGGAAACATTTAGACATTATAACCATGTTCAGAGGGAGGTTATGTTCATGTATAAGGGGACCATTTAGACATTATCAACATGTTCAGGGGGAGGTTATGTAATGTATAAGGGGACCATTTAGACATTATCAACATGTTCAGAGGGATGTTATGTTAATCTATAAGTGGACCATTTAGACATTATCAACATTTTTGTGGGAGGTTATGTTAATGTTTAACGGGACCATTTAGACATTATCAACATGTTCAGAGGGATGTTATGTTAATATATAAGTGGACCATTTAGACATTATCAACATTTTTGTGGGAGGTTATGTTAATGTATAAGGGGACCATTTAGACATTATCAACATGTTTGAGGGAGGTTATGTTAATGTATAAGGGGACCATTTAGACGTTATCAACATGTTTGTGGGAGGTTATGTTAATGTATAAGGGGACCATTTAGACATTATCAACATTTTTGAGGGAGGTTATGTTAATGTATAAGGGGAACATTTGGACATTATCAAAATTTTCAGAAGGAGGCTATGTTCATGTATAAGGGGACCATTTAGACATTATCAAACTTTTCAGAAGGAGGCTATGTTCATGTATAAGGGGACCATTTAGACATTATCAAAATTTTCGGAAGGAGGTTATGTTCATGTATAAGGTGACCATTTAGACATTACGATTGTTCCAAAGGGGGGGGGTATGTTTATTTATATACTTTTTTTTTTATTTACTTTTTTTTGAATAGGTATTAAGCGTTGGAATATTGGTCGGGAAAATGTTCACTTAAAATACGCTCAACGATCTGTTATTTGATATTAAGTAGTGTAGGTGAACATGGCAGAAAGAAGAAGTAAATAGTCTTAAGAGATACATGTGGTTTACGCCAATCTCGTTATAAAAAAACTAAGTGATATTTTTAAAAAAAATATATATTTCTCATTTAAATGTTCGTTTGTAAAAAGAAAACAGCAACATCGGAAGCACATTTAAGCGTTAAACAACATGTGCTTAAATGCATTTGCTAGGAATAATAACATGTAATTTGTGTCCATTTGTTAAACGCAGTGATTATTTAGGATGTTATTAAACCTTCAAAAGATTTTCATTATGAAATAAGTGTTTACATGTGCCACTTTTTTTTTAGTAATAAAAATTAGTGATAAGAAACTTTACAGTATTTTACTATCACTGATAAGCTTTCCAACATATTAGTTCAAACATAAGTTTCCTTGTACAAAAATATAAATATACCGAAAGGATTGGAATATCGAAGTAAATTTAGAAAAAATAAAATTATACCAATCAAATTTATTTTAAAAATAACTTCTAAAATAATTTATATCGATTATGTAAATCGATTTTGAATATGTAATTATGTTTTGGGACAGGTGCTTACGAAACTTGACACTTCTTTTCAGCCATTTGATCTTGCAGGTGCTTTACGTATTCAAGCATGGAACTTAACAGAGCGATAACGTAAAAAGATTACACTTGCATACATTATGCATAATGTAAGAAGCTTCATAAAGGCGAACATTTACTTCGCGCTACAATTCATTACATCGCAATAGACTTTGGTTGCTAGGGTCAGTGCCAACCTTCCATATCAAAAAATTCTTAAAAAAAGAAGCAAAGAAGAAATAACAAAAGAAGAAAAAAGTTCAATGTTTTTGCAAAAAAAAATTATTAATTTTAAAGAAAGAATGAGGGCGATCGCCAGAAGCAGATCACACACTCCTCAGCCCTCATACGACATTACAGACGCACAGAACAATATGCTTTTAGACTTGTGCTAGAGGAAATTTAAGCACTTAAGAGGCTTAAATACAAAGTCCTATCAGTGCATAGATTTAGGTTGACAAAGGCCCTTCATTAACACTAAGTCTTTCTTCAACGCTTCAGACATGTATATAATAAATACCCAACCAACCGAGTCGTGTAATATAAGAATGTCTAGGCTTAGCATGCGTAAATAAATAATGTGAATGACGAAACACCGTTCATGCCTTAGACATGTGTGCCGCGATATGCCCCCTTTATGTGCAGAGCCAGTGCAGCGGTGTATGATATCACAACCGAAAAATCTCCAGAGATCATTAACAAGCATTTTGAAGAGTAGATTCCATGTTGGGCAGCATCGCCATGAACTAAATTAACATTTAAACATTGCATTTCTATATGTTTAGTAATGTATAATTAGTATAAGATTATGTTAACCTGGGAACACAACTACGTGGCGCGTCCTGTGTGGGCAGACAAGGGACGTGCTCGTTACCTTATTTAAATTTTAACTCCATATTTCATCGGAATGATATATATATATAGCTTCCCATAGTAGTAATACGTAGAAACTCTCATGTAAAGGGTCATATTACTTGGTTTATATAAATACCTGTTGACAGGAGTAGGCTAATATTTAATTCAGCCACCAAAACGCTCTAACTTATAAGCACCCTTTAAAATCATAACATTTGTTCTCTCTTTTTATGTATGTAGTTTAGAATTATGTCTCTTGTAACAATACAAAAGGAATGACTTCAGTGAGTAGTATTTTTCGATCCTCAATCTCAAATTTACTCTTATAAATATTTAATTGATATGCATAATTAATTTTCCTAAGTCTAGCACCAACCCATTAATTGTTACGCTTTCACGTAACTGATTAAAAAGTGTTCAAATTTGTTACATAAAGTAAACATTTATCACTGCGAAGTTGGATCCCGTTGTATTTCAAAGACTCACTTCTGGGAAGTTAACCAGAGTTTATAAAACAGATGCAAAAGAAATGCCTACATAACAACACATTGATGTTTGACTGTTACCTTTAAAAAAGAAATTCGAGTATTTTTTTTTTTTTTTTTGACACTGCGTTTCACAAAATTTCTCATGCATCATTCGTTCTTTTTTCAACAATATGCATTCATTTTTTACTTCACTAAGTAACATTTTGGTAGAATAATTTTTTTTTCCCTTTTTTTAAAAAAAATGCAAAAGAAATGCCTAAATAACAACACATTTTTGTTTTATTTTTACCTTTAAAAAAAAAATTCGATTATTTTTTTTTTTTTTTTTGACACTGCGTTTCACAAAATTTCTCATGCATCATTCGTTCTTTTTTCAACAATATGCATTCATTTTTTACTGCACTAAGTAACATTTTGGTAGAATAATTTTTTTTTCACTTTTTTACATTTTAATTAATCAAAACAAACGATCATAAGCATAAATAAGATGTAACGAATTGCAAGTTAAAATGTGTTTACATCTAAAATGAATAAAAGATGCTTCTATATAGATATTTAATTGTGTTAAAAAATTCTTTATGACTTTGATTATGAATTACACAAATATTATAAATTATGCTGCTATTTCTTTTTAAAATCAACTCAGAAATAATAGTTAATTTAATCTACCAAGAAATTGAAACACAGTCTTGATTTAGTTATAATTATGTAAAATGAATTGGCTGATCATGACTTTTTACATACTTTTAATTTTACTAATCCAACGTTTAAAGTGGTTACAACTTTTTGAATGTCAGTACATACACCTCTGGTATTACAAAAAGTAATTTAATAATTCATACTGTAAACATGCACTCAAAGCGTCTTTCCGCTGTAGAAACGTTATCTAGTAACATAATATATTATCAATGCTTAAAATATTCTTAATATCTTTTTAAAATCTTGAAAACCACACCACAAATGTATTTCAGATTCTGGTGTATGTTTATAATTTAGATTTTCGATTAAGTTGAATACGTTGTAGACATGTTGTGAGATGTGAAATAAGATAAAGACACATACCATAAAGTAATTCATATTCTGCACATTGCAAATTGCAATATCATGAGTCAAACCAACGGCCCATCTCAAAGTAGTTAATACATGGATGGCCCCTTAGGACTAGCGTTAAAATATTATAAGGTAACACGACATAGCTTTAAAACGTAGGTAATGTATCGATGACCCCATATGGCGAATGTTAAAATAGCATAAGTCAATCACAAGCTAGGCAATATTACAATGGCCCAAATACAGCTGACGATTAAAATCGTACTGAGCCATGCTAACGGCCGAACCGACCCACGAAATTCCAAAATAAGGATTTCTGTTTCCAGCTCAATTTTATACTTAAGTAATCGTAGGTCGTATATTATCCGATATGATACCTTTTAACGCTAGTCCTAAGGGGCCATCCATTTATTAACTACTTTGAGATGGGAGGTTGGTTTAAACCTTATTAAAAGATAAACCATAATGAACCATCCTAAAATTAACTACCTTGTGATGTGAGTTTATGCTGATATATAATATGTTAACATTATCAAGAATGAGCAATAATAACTTAACTACGTTGTAATAAGAGTGTGAGTTGACTCATTATATTTTAGCGGGTCTTAATTATTCATTATGGAACAGGTTTGCAAACATTTGCACCTAAATACATTTATGTGCACATACATGTAAATGGCAGATATATAATTTCGTGATCGATTATGCTTGCACCTGGGACAAAAGCGTTACACTAAGAGTGTGTCAGACGCCAAAATACACATCGTAAACTAAGGAAGACACAGTTATAAATCAATCGCTGTGCAGGATTTAACATGAATGAAACAAAAAGCCTGCTTGGGTTATTTCCAAAGATAATGCGATCAAACCAACTCATGATCCATTATAAAATCTAAATGAATGCAGAATTTTCTAACCGTGACTTTGCGACACCTCCTCGTCTGGAACTGGCGTGTTCATTGTTGCAGTTACACATGAAGTGGGCCGTTCAATTGTACATCTTTTTTTAAATATGTACATCACATGATTTATACAAAATGTATTAGCTATTTGAATACAATATATTCAAGGCATTCATCTTTACTGAAAAACAAAATCAATTTCTAATGTTAATTCCCCTGTATCTTATGTGTTTTACTATGTCATATATTTTACTTATAAGCTTCAAAAAGGTAAACTATTTACACTGTTAATGTAGCATTTAAGAATGTAGCCTTTGAAAGGTAAATTTTGCCCATTTTAGACATTCATTTCCCACATTTAAGAGGTTCATTCTAGATGTTATTTAAAAACTTCAAACTTTTATGTGACTAAGATGCAGACGACAATTTTCCACACTTAGTGTTTTATTTGCCAGTTTGTTTTTTTTTTGAGGTCTATTCACCTAACATTTGTGGTCCATTCGCCAGTTTGTAGGTCTTTTCGCCCACTTTTACGTCTTTTCGCCACAAATTAAAACAAAAATAATTATATAAATATTACCATTTCCTTAGTTGTTCTTCTTCCACAAAACTGTTATATTTGTCTAGGCCTAATTAATATGTAATTTTATGCAAATATAAGACAAGTATGTCATCATGCAGCTGTGGGCGGCTTTTGCTGAGTATTAATCATTTAACATACAATGACAAAAAGACGTAGAGCACAAATGCATATCTGATTGTCGGCCTAGAGACAGACAGACCGTCTGATTTCTGATAGATGACCGAAAACCTCAGCCACTTCTGGCCGCATGGTCGAAAGTCGCAGTCAATTTTGGCCGAAACTGAAATTAAAACGAAAGTTAACTCTTCATTTTCGGTTGAAAATGAAATTGTGCCGAAAGTGGCTAAGGTCACTTTCGGCGCCGAAACCGAAACCGAAGCCAAATTTCGATCGGTCTCTATATAGAACATTGGCTAATAGAATAAAATAAGTAAAATTGGATTATATAGAACACTGCCTTGTTCTTGACAGTAACACATTTAATGTGAATTTATCATACAACATCTGAGGTACCTGAATTCTTGTGTACAATAGTTAAAACATTTTTACGTCATTGTGTTTTTGGTTTTATAATACATAATTTTATAGGAAAATTATTTTCTTTTACATAATTAAAAAATATTTTATCCCTCTGACATAATTTTTTATATATATATATATATAAACATATGTAACAGAGATAAAACAATATTAACCGAAATTAAATGATTGTATAGAATTAATCAAATATATTCTCTTTAATGTAGAGACAGAGTAAGACGGATAGAAAGAGAGATAGAGGGAAAGAGAGAAAGAGAGAACACGAGAGAGAAAGAGAGGGAGTAGAGAGAGAGAGGGAGTAGAGAGAAAGAGGGAGTGAGAGAGAGAGAGGGAGTAGAGAGAGAGAGGGAGCAGAGAGAGAGAGAGAGAGAGGGAAAGGGGTACAGAGAGAGAGAGAGAGAGAGGGAGAAATTTTTGTATCTTTATGTGATAGAATAAATCTTTAAAAGATATATTGAATCACCAAATCTAAAATATACCATCATCCTAAACTGTTTTTAATATACATGAAAGGTTTTAATCTACCAACTGCTTACCTCAACTTGAATCTTGAAGACATAAAGTTAGATCGCTCTCAGCGCCTGAGATCAGTCGATAAGCATTATACTTGTAGTTATATAAGCGTAACAAGTGGTATTCATTGATATTTTATTTTTTAGTACATAACAGTCTGGTCTATAAAATAAGTTCATAAATGTCCCGATTCCAGTTGCAAAACAAGTTTGTCCTTAACCCCCGACTACTTAATTGTGTTCTGTTCATAGTTTGTGATTGTTATTAATTTGTTACACGCCGTTTCGCTTGACTGACGTTAAGGTCGCTTTGACATGTTTATAATCGACATAACAGATATTTCAACATTAGCCTTATGGGGCCATTGTAATATTACCGACCTTGTGGTCGGAGGTAGTGTTGTTTTATGACTTTTTTAACATTAGCTCTAACGGGACATCCATATATTACCTACGTTGTGATAAACGGTTGTGGTGTCTTATAATATTTTTAACATTAGCCATTAGGGGCATCCTAACATTAACTACCTTGTGATGGGAGTTTGAGTTGATTTATAACATCTTTAAAAGGTCTGAATGCACTTTGGGACAAGGTTCGCAAAGACAATGTGCACTTAAACACACTGCGATCGTGTGTGTAGAGTAGACAAAGAGAACATAGAATTATAAAGAAGTAAACTATATACGAGTGAAACTGGACACAAACTTCCAAATGCATGTGCATGAAATATGACCCACCTTTATGGATGCGGTCCATGGACTTGAGTGAAGGCACACTTTACCGGAAAGAGCTGTATGAAAGAATATTTTAATTTTATTTTTTTGAAATAGAATGTTCCACTAATAGCATGTTGAGGCTTCTAAGTTGGTCACAACTTCGTCCAGGGTAATTTTATTAGTTTACAGATTATGCTGTGTAGGATTAACTTCCTCCTGTAAATCAACACAAATAGAAATGCGTCAGATCAAGGTAAACTCACAATGAAGTATGACAATCATTCTCCAATGTACAGGGGTGATGCTAGTGGCGCATCAGCAGAGACCTTTATTTGTGAGTACTTCTTCGTTTTGATGTATGCAATGGCAATAGACGATGCCAGCTCGTCTGTGTTCTGTGTAACAGCTGATCTTTATTCAATATTCTTCATTTCTTTTACACCTCACATCACGTGATCACTCACTCCACTTCTCCAACCAATGTTCGCGCCTTTAAGTTCAACGATTCATGAATGAAAACAATTCACCACGTCACGTCATACCACATGACAGCAGAACAGGCCGATCGGGGCGCAAAGCTCACTCAAGACACACCAATACACACAACAATGAACATCACTAATACATGCTATTAAAATATATTTGGATTCAACACTGATTTTTTTTTTTTTTACATTTAAATAAACGATAATAGAAAATATTTTGAAATATTATTTTGTAATTCTATAAATGGGTAAAGTTTAATTTTATTTTTGTGTTTAATTTTTACCATGTCTTTTCATGCACTGGGAATCGCCTAACCACATCGTAATTTGTAAAGCTTTATTTCTCAGAATTGAGATAAATATAGCTTCCTGTTATTTAAAAATTTTACCGACCACTTCAATAACGGTCAAAACGTTGTTTTTTTTAAAACTAATTTTAAGGTCACGCTGTTAAGGACACATCAGCCTTGAATTTTTAATGAAGTACACATTTGGAGTGGCTAAGTCTATGTACAATCTACATGTGATTGGTTAACCTTTTATGAAATTAGTTTATAAAGAGCAGTTTTTATCTGTAAATATGCAATTTTTTGTATTCGTCCCCCCCCCCCCCCTTTAAGGTGATGGTCACCCGGTGCTGTCCCAAACACCCCTCCTACTTTTATGAAATTAGTTTATAAAGAGCAGTTTTTATCTGTAAATATGCAATTTTTTGTATTCGTCTCCCCCCCCCCCTTTAAGGTGATGGTCACCCGGTGCTGTCCCAAACACCCCTCCTACGCACCCCCTTAGCTAGGCCACTGCTTTGTATAATGATCACGATAAATGAATATCACTTAAGGTTAACAATTGTATCGTATATTTTCATTACATTTTAAAATACGAACAGTGTCGTAGTAAGGGTGTTGATACATCTTAAAAAGAAAAACAAAAACAAAACAGCTTTACAGTATCCTTGAACTGTTGCATTTAATTATAAAAGGAAACAAAGTTTACGGACCACAGCGAACGACTCCCTTCTGGCACCTTCATTCGACACTGAAGTCAAACAAAAAAAAAAGCTTTATCGAAGCTCGAATAAAGGGAATCGGAAAGACATCACATGCTCTTGTTTTATGTTGAGGTATTTTGAAGAAAATTTAATTAAATACGGACAGATTTGTGGCCAATGTGTTTCCACTCTTTATCAAACTTTTCGTTTTAAAATGGCTAGTTGACAAACAGCGTATGCCATATAACAATATGATTGATAGAGATAGAACGATAACTGAACTATAGCTAATTACAAGTAACAATGGTGTAGTAAAAAAAATTTAATAAAAGAGCAACACAAAAAATCTGCTCACTTGCAGGATGTCAATGCGTACTATAAAAGAAAGGTAAACAATTTTTTATTTTAAATATCGCCAAAATCAAGAATGCCGTATTGGTTCTTCTAAACCAAAAATGTTTACCTTCTTATCTATATTATAGTCTATGGATGGAGGACTTAATTAGAATAAAAATTAACTCAAAATGTAACTTCCGATATATTTATAAAATATAGTTTATGTTAGAGTTTATATGAGCAGGCCAGTTCAGCATACGACCCGCCAGCATGCAATTTGCAGCCAGCGAAGTATAGAAATATTTATTATAATTAATATTTTTTTTATTAGCTCCCCCACCCACATCCTTTTTTTCCTAACATCTTTCGACCCGCACAAGATTTTCACAAAGTTTTACGGCTCTGCTTGCATTTTGAGTTGTTCAGGGCTGGATATGAGGTTGTGTAAAACAATATATGCTAGGTGTCCATATGTATGTTTTATTTTCATTTCTAATAACATTTATTTCATTCGTTACATAAAATGCTTTAAAGTTGTCATTATTATTGTTTGACAAACCTTGCAAAAAGAAATTGATGCCAACATATTCTTTTGTTTGTGATTCGATAGGTAACGCTTGAAGTAATGAACACCTTCTTATTTATTGCTATTTAATTAGTTAAAAGCATCTATTTTGAACGAAAGTTCTACCGTGAAATTAAGGTTAGGAAATAGCGAGCAGCCAATATTTTTATTCAAATTATTCATTTTCAAATAATTTATTTTTGTTTTTTTTCGCCTGATTTAGTTTCATTGTTATTAAATGAAAAGTTTATTTTAAGTAATTAAATGAATGCAAAATTGTCGTTTAATTATTTGTAAATTGTGTGTTATGACAAACATATTAATTAAAAATATATTTGTAACTATATCAAACAATAAACAACAGATAAATACTAACTTTATTAAGATACAGATTGAAAAAATGGCGCGAAGGAAAGTCAGTGGTTAAAAAACGTGAGAGTCCTTTTTAAGGAGACCCTTGGATAACAGGAGATGCTTTTTTATTTTTGTTTTGATACTTTCATTTGCAAGAGAGAATGTTTACCACTAAATCAGCCTGTCACAAAAATGTGTCATTTTTTTAACATTGGGGAAAAAAATTGTGCCAGATGTCAAAAATGTTGTTTTTTTTTTATTCAATGTTAACAACGATTGCAACCGTTTTTCTTCACCATCAGTAACGATTAACTGGTTTCATGTAATAATGTCCCGAGTTATATTTTGGAAATAATCTACGGCGTGGCCCCAGAGATAAGTTGAGCCAATGATTCAATGGTGTACGGCACGGCCTAACATATAGGATGAATATTTGATTAAATGATCAAGAGCAGGCCTACACAACTCAAAATGTAAGTCGGGCCGTAGTACTTAATGAAAAACTTGTTCGGGCCAGAAGCAAATAGGACAGGTCTTGTGCGGTTAAAAAAAAAAGAGGACATGGGGGAAAGCTGTTCAGAAAATAATAATAATAAAGAACATTTTGTTACTTCGCAGGATGCAAAGTGGGTACTGGCGGGCCGCATGCAGCCTTCGGGCCGTATTTTGTGCAGGCTTTATACAGGGCATTGACCAGCAGCTGAATATAGTAAATGATATAAAGGTTCTACGGCATGGCAAAAACATATAATTTGAGTCAATGATTTAATGATCTACGGCATGGACCAGCAGACGAGTTAAATCAATGATTCAATGATCCTCAACATGGACCAGAATTTGAGTTTAGTCAATGATTTAATGATCTACGGCACGGCCAAGCAGATGATTTAGAACTTTTTTTTTTTTACAGAAGAAGTAGAAAGCGCTGTGCACATAAAGCCACCTTGTACTGTGAATATTTTCAGAACGAAAGTGATCTATCAACTTAAATCACATAGTGACATATCTTACAGCTGCAGAGTTTGTGCCTTTTGATGCCATTTATGTGCTTAAATAGCTATGTGGTAGCATCTAACAAGCATGACCGCAAGGATCTTGTCTCTCCGGAAAGCGAAAAGAATATATAATATATATTTTGCAAAATCTTCTTGTGATAAGGGATTCCATTAACTTAAACGTCGTGAAAAAAAACAGTATTGAAGAAAAGTATTTCTCTTTCTATGTTAAGGAATGCACCTGGTGATGCTACATCAAAACTTAAAAAAGAAATGCTTTAAATGAGAATCTACATCCATACTAGGTAATTGCATAAAGTTTAGTAAAGGTATTCATAAAAAAAAATTAATTATAACCTTAAAACAAAAAACAAAAACCCAATAATGGTGTAATTTTTTATTGTGTCTTTAGTAGGTCATAGATTTTAGATTTTAAAAGCATTTTTTTTTGTATAAATGTGTTAATATATTTTATCATAAAAAGATATAAAAATAACTTTCAGCTAAAGTAAAAGAAATAAATAGGCTATGATTGAAAAACAAACCAAAAAAAAAAAAAAAAAAAAAAAACAAAATAAAAAAATATAAAAAAAAAAAAAAAAAAAAAAAAAAAAAAAAAAAAAAAAAAAAAAAAAAAAAAAAAAAAAAAAAATAAAAGAATTTTTTTTTGTATAAATTTGTT